TTCTTTTATCCTTATTTGAAGGGAAGGAACTGAAAAGCTGAATTTAAATAATGTGCCCTTGGTGGTATAGCTAATAAACAGTCAAGTCAGGATCCAAATGCAGAACATGCCCATCCAAAAACTACATTATGGAAAACATGAGATCTCCAGAGAGAGGGTGATAGAACCTTTATTCAGAGAGAGAGAGAGGAAGTGAAGAAAACTCAGAGGATATACAGAAAGTCACAGACTTCAGGACAGGGGTGTAGCTCAATGGTAGAGCACTCGCCTAGCACGTGCTTTGAGTTCCAACCTCCACACTGAAAAAAAAAAGTCAGAGTAGCTGCTTCTGGATTTTTTTAGCCTAAGAAGACCTTTCCTCTCTTAACATTTTTATTTTATTTTATTTTGATTACCATCTGGTAAGGCGTGAATGCCCTGCTCCCATATGTTGACGCCTTAGCCCTAGTGTCCCTAATATGACTGTATTAGGAGCTGGGGCTTTTAAGGAGGTAGTTAAGGTAAAATGAGGCCAAACGGATAAGCCTAACTCAATCTGACAAGTGCCCTTACGCAAATAGGAAACTTTGACACAGACAGTACAGGGGCAATCCCTTGTGAAGACACACTATAAAGAGAAGTCCTGTGATGACATGGAAGGCAGCTGTCTACAAGTCAAGGAGGAGGGCCTAGAGGAAACCAGCCCTGCAGGAATCTTGATCTCAGACTTCCAACTAAATTTCTGTTGTCAAAATAACCCAGTCTACAGTCTTTTGTTAAGTCCACCTATCGATCTAATACATTATCATTAGATGCACATGGAGGTGACATTTTGGTGATTTTCCCCGAGTTGAGATCTAACAAAGCCAGTTGCCCAGGGTGAGTCACTGTGGTTCTTTTAGTTCAACAGGAACAGATCAGGAAGACCCAGCCAAGGATACACTGTCATTTGTACCCAAAGCAGAGGTGAGGCTGGCTCCAGAAACTCATTCCTCTGAAGGCTCTACCCACCTTTCTTTTTTGTCTTTATAAGTGGATATTTCCCACAATGCAGTAGTAAGAGGAACACTGGCTGCTGGTGGCAGAGGAGCTTTCCATTTAGGAACTACTGAATCACGGCCTTAACCAAACATGAAATGACAGAACTGTTTCCAGCAGAGGATTAATTGAGCCAACTCAAGGCAAACACAATGTATTTTGGCATTGCTTTTGACAGATGGAAATAAAACAAACATTAGCAACCGGATTGCAGCTAACAATATGCAAAATTAAAGAACGTACCTTTTTAACTTTTTCTGGAAGCCCACTGGCTTTTCTTACAAAATCTGCAGAAGAAAAAAAGACAGAGTTGTTAATCTCGTTATACAACCAGTTAGCACATGCAAACAAGGGGAATTAAAAGTCTTTGCATTCAGGGGAGGAAAGAGATATTTGACACATATATTTATTAAAGAGACTGGACTGGAAAATAGCACTGCTATATTAATCAGAAATGGTGTAAAAATACTTAAATAATACAACAGAATATACACAGGCAGCATAAGCTTCTTACAAATGGAAGCCTAAGGTCTAAGTATTTTTATTTGAAGGTTAAATTTTCAATTAAATTTTTTCAGCTTGTTGCCATCCCTTCCAAGCATCACTGTTAATTGCTATGAAAGAATGTCTCTCGCTGTTTGAATTCTGGACATGGAAACCAGAAGCTGTCAGCCATCTAATGGGCATCAGAGTATTGGGGCAGAAATCAAAATTACTGTGTAAAAGCTGAACCAAAATATCAGCTGCTGAGAAGCCAACTGATCCATTAAAAAAATATCTTTTTAAAAAAATTTGTACTTTTTTCATTTGTTTACTATCTTAGTGCATTTGTGTTGCTATGACAAAACCTCAGAGGCTGAGTACTTTATAAATGATAGAAATTTATTTCTTATAGTTCTGAAGAATGGCAAGTCCAAGGTCAAGGTGCTGACAGGTTGGGCGACTCATGAGGGCCAAGTCTCTGTTTCCAAGACAGTGTGTGTTCACGTGGCAGACAAGCAGAAGACAGACCCATTCCCAGTTAGATGGCCTTAATCACCACTAATCACCTCCCAAAACTTCCTTCCCCTTAGTGCTATCAAGTTGGCAACTAAATTTCAGCATACGAAGTTTGGGAGACTCACTCAGACCAAAATACTCAGTTTTTCTAAAATTCCAATTCTAAACACTAGTCCATCATTGAGAAGGGCAAATAGATGTCTTCTATTATTGAAACTTCTAAATCTCTCAACTTCCGTGGTTTGTGACAGGGCATTGTCTATGTATACACTCAGGGTACACAGAGCAAAAGAATCAATAGCATTCTTCTTTAGAATAGAACCACAAGCCAGGTGTGGTGGCACACATCTGTAAGAAATACAAGCACTCTGGGAGGCTGAGGCAAGAGGACCAGAAGATCAAGCCCAATCTGGGAAAATTGGTAACTTAGTGAGACTCTGTCTTAAAATAAAAAGGGCTGTGAATGTAGTTCAGTAGGCAGGCTCTGGGTTCAGTCCCCACCCCTGCCCCACAAAAAAAACAGTATCGAACAAGACTTAGGAAACCATGTCCTGGCTGTACGGAAGCTTATTTACTTCTTCTGCTGGTTTAATTAGCAATGGGTTCTCTCTTCACAGCTACACTCTCACCATCTGGGAGAACAGGAAAGAAAGAAGATTTAGGAAGCAATTGAATGACTAACAATTGGGCTTGGAAATAAGGTTAAATTTTGAGTTGAGATCAGAATTAGAATGAATGTATGAGCTATAGATACACTTACATATGTTTTAGATGGAAAAGAAATGTTTTAAATTAAGAGGCAGAATTAAGTATGAGTAAATTTTGTTGTGAATAAAGGGGAATAATGACATTAAAAATAAAATGAAGATTTTGTTTAATTTTAAATGGCTACTTATCATAGAAAAAAAACGTGCAGTTTTTTAATTAGACAAATCTAGTTCTGCAGCCCAGTTCTATCTCTTAATACATACACAACCTGTGACTTATAAGTCACCAAAATTCTCAGCCTGTTTCTTCATCTCCAAGATTAGAATAACTTCTACTCTGCTTTCTTAAAGTTTTTACATCTAGTCAGCAAATTTAAATGTACAGATGATAGATTAGATCAGTGATTCTCAGCTAAGAATGTTCTTGTCTCCTTCTCTTCAAAAGGACATTTGGCATTTTTTGGTGACATTTTTGATCATCACAACTTGGTAGGGTGATACCAAAGTCATTGGACAGAGGCCTGGGATATTGCTTTATATCCTAAAATTCACAGAACAGCCACCTTAACAATAATTTACTACAAATGTCAATAGTATTGATGCAGATAAATCTCGTATTAGAAATAAATAGCTAGATGACAAAGGATAGAAAGTTAATGGAGGATTTGATGATTTATGGATAGATCATTTGATTGATACATAGAAAAGATATATTTTGACATGGAACACACTAAGTATTCAACAAAAGAAAATGATTTTTATTAAAACAGATGACAGAATTAATAGCATGAGAGCTGGGATGAATTGAAGAATGATGCTAAAGATGAAATAATAATCTTGGTTACAAGAATGTGCCGGTCACCATGCTAAGTGGTTGGTGTCCATACCTCACTTAAGACTGGAGTTCATCATTTTCTAAGTGTAGGATTAATGATGGAGCTATGGACAGAGCTAAGGTTGGGGTCAATGGTGAAGCTGTGAGTCAACCCCACTATTAGATTCTTCTGAAGGATGAACCAAACCCACTAATGGTTTTGGACACATCCACACAACTCCACCAACATTGAGCATCCCAGTCTGAAATCTTGCAGCTGGAGAGGAATAGCAAAATTGATGTGACACTTATATGTGAAGATGACTATTTTCCATTCATAGGAAAATGGATACATATTGAGGATATATTCTTAAGTGAAATAAATAAGCCACACATGTGTAAATACCAAATAGTTTCTCTGGTGTGAAAAACTATAATAGTACACAAAATCCTAATGGGAAAATTAAGAGTGTGAAATAGGAAGAAAAGGGCTAAAGGTGTAGGGAAAGTGGGAAGGGTAGGGGAAAGGAAATAAGGGAAAAGAAAAAATATGAGAAAATGGAAACAAAGAGTTTGTAAATGGGGAGGGAAGGAGGGGGTGAAGGGAGGGCAGAGACAAGGGGAAAAAATGAGAACCAAGAACTTTCATGTGAAGGTACAGGATCCCATTAATGAATGTAACTGAACTGTGAACCTAGATTATACCAACAAACTAAATAAAAAGAAAAAAAATACTATTTTCCCAGCACTGTTGTCAAGACATCTGGAGCATACTGATAAACAGGTTTACCCAGTGTCTGTACCTATTACCATGAGGAAGAATCGAGGGATTTTAGTTTCATGTGAAGAGTGAATACTAGGTGCATTCTGGTACTAAACTAATTTTGAAAGAAGACAGCTGTTTTTTAAACTTGTGTTTAAGAGAACATGAATCCTATGAGGTTCAAACTAATGCCTCTCTCCAATCTGTGTCAGTCCACAGGGGTGGTGCACAACCTCCAGATCCACAAAGGGCCTCTGAGAGCTAACAGGAGCCTGAGCTGTTAGGTGTCACACTTTACTCTCAGGAGAATGGGTGAGAAATTTCAAGAAGACAGATCTGTCATGTAATTGTCCATAAAAATAAAGAACCATTGCACAGACTCCTGGTTGGAGAAATGCTGCTCAAACAGAAAAGGAGTTGTGTGACTCTTGTGTGGTAATAAGAAAAAGATGGGAACAGACTTGATGGTAATTTTCCTGCAACATTCTGGTCACGCATCACTGACTCTGGTGTATATGAGCATAAAGGGTGTCTCCAGTAGTAACTACTTTGACTCACAGGCCTCATTGTGTTCTTACTCCATACCCAGACTATGATGACCAACCATGTTGCAGACACTCAGTACGGAACATGGAGTCCCTAGTGGTTGACATGGATGCTTTTCTCCCCAGGAAGTTTCCTTCATATAAATTTTTGCGGTAGAATTTGGTTATTAAGTCTTATCTCTGTATGTCCCTCAAAAGCCTAATGGGCTCATAGGTGAGGCTTTGGGAAGTGGCTGCATCATAGGTATGTGATGCATGGTGGTTGTGGGCAATGGGATTACTGCAATGTGAAGCCCCAACTTGGGTGTGGGTGGCACCAACCAATAGACTTGTAATCTGGATACAATACAAAGTAAAAGAAGGAAGGAAGGCTAGCTGCTTTATGCCTCCTGCCTGCCCTGTCATGGACTGTTTCTTCTCTGTCATGCCCCTCTGCCATGCTGTACTTCTTTGGAGCCAGCCAATTATGGACTGAACCCTCTACAAACTGTGAGCTAAAATAAATTTATCCTCTTTTAATTGGTAGGTACCAGGTATTTTGTGCCAGCAAGGAGCAAGTAATTAAGACATTTGGTTTGCACTTCAGTTTCTTTAATCTGATTTCAGGTGTAATTCCCATGACCTACATCTCTCCTGGATGTTCACCCAAACAGCGCTGGTGAGAAAAGAAGATGTCAAAGTCTGAATCATGGTCATAGTGTACTTGCTGTTACACCCTTGATGGGCTCCTGAAAAAAAAAAAAGAACAATCATAACCATAATTCATCTTGGAACATTTTTATCACTTGCAGATCTTGTACTTGTTTGTAATGAACTCTTGTCCACACCTCCCATTCCCAGGCAGCCATTGATCATTTTCTGTTTTCACAGATTTGCCTTTTGTCTCTATAGATCTGTTTATGTTTCTATAGATTTGCCATTTTGTATAAATGCCATGATCTATGACATAATCTTCTACATCTGGCTCCTTTCACTTAGCATAAGGTTTTATGAGATTTATCCATGTTGTAGTATGCATCAGTACTTCATTCCTTTATATGGCCAAATAATAGTCCATTGAATGGATATACCCCATTTAATTTATGCATCTATTGAAGGATATTTGTGGGGTTTACATTTTATGGCTATAATGAATCATGCTGCTATGAATTTTCATGTACAAGCCTTTGTATAGACATATCTTTTCAATTCTCTTAGGTAGAATTGCTAAGTCACTTGGTAAATTTATGTTCCTCCTGATGGGATCCTGAACAGCCTCTGAGGCAACCTTTCCCTCAGTCTGTGTGAGTAATAAAGGGACAGCCTGAGGGCTTACCTTCCATGAGTTTATATCCTTCATTCCCCTCCTACTAAACCTTTTGAAATTCTGTTCACCTATACAGTGAGGACAGCTTTGCAGTGTCCACGTAGGGTTGCAATTTCAATTGTATGACTCTCTAATATCAGAAGATGTGAAACATCTTGAAGGACTGACATCATGAAAGATGGTAATGTGCTATCACTGCCATCATTAGCATTATTGGCTTGTCATCTATGACTTAAGATGATGGGATTTTAAGATTTATCTGGTAGATCAGGAAGTACCCAAGATCTAATGCAAAAAGCCTTTGACTTTAATGGCTGGTCCCCTTATTTCCCCTTCTTGATATGGGATCTTCCATAAAATGAAGATTCACTTTAAAAACTTTAAAAAGCCTTATCCTCCAGAATTATCCCTTATCCCTATAGAATTGAGCTGATTGGTAGCACATTTAACCTAGGCCCTGACAACTGTGACATGGCTGTAACCTGACCCTAATTCCCATCTAGAAAGGTTGCATACCCCAAGAGAAGCAGTGAAGAACCAAATATGCTGAAAGATAGGCTGTTTCATTTTACTCACTTATTCTATTCCACCTGAGTTACATTCGTGAAGAATTTTGATATATTTTTTGTAAATAGAAATCATAAATAGTACAGCACATAGCTATTTTTCAAGGTGCATTTATATTGATGATATCATTAGGTTATTAAAACTTGTGGCCGTGGGCCAGTGGTTCATTAAAATCACCTGGGAACTGGGAACGTCTGTTCACATTCAGTGCCTGGCACCCTCCCGCGTACTCCCAGTAGACCCCGAATGAATTCAGGGAGGTGCTCTGAAATCTGGATTTCTTTTATTTCCCAGGTTGTTCCCATGTATAAGCAGAATCCAGAACTGTTGCTACAGACTACAGAAGACTTGGTAGAGGCTATTTTCTCTATTCTTTAGTTGAAAGTCTGGGAGACAGGTTGTAGTCCTTGTTTAAAATCATATATCAAACTTTTGTTGCCTCTGGGATTTGAACCCAGGCTTCCAGGCTCAGTCTTGTGCACTGTTTTCTACACAACATTTTCTAGAAGCGAAAGAAAAAAGAACTATAATGGAGGGGGAATATGTTGAATCCTTAGCAAAAAAAAAAAAGCACCAGTGGATGACTACACTAGTCTTTACCTGGAATACATTCAAGGGAGGATCTCACCGTGCTTTCCCATGCCTATGCCAAAACCAGGGTCTGACTTGTTATAAAAATGCTTACTCTGAAGTAGTGGAGATTCTAAAGGGATAGATAAATCTATAAGCAAGACCACTGAATTGGTAAAATGCCCAGCTCAGCAGTTCAGAGCCAAACACAGAAAGGCTTTGGGAGCAGGTGAGTGCTTTTATTATGGTAATCAGCTCTGGGCCCAAGAAACGATAAGGTCACTGATGTCCCTGGGATGCTCCAGAGCAGGGGTAGAAGTGAGTCTGCATGGTGAACACAGGGATATATGACAGGCAGCACACGGGTGGGCCACGACATTGACCTCTTTGCAAGCAAGGCCTGGCAATTTTTAGCCAATTTGTGAGCCAGTGGAAGGAAATGCTGAACTGGAAGAAATGCTCTGGAAGAATCATTAGATTTGAGAATAAAGTGGAAATTCAAGATCATCAAGCCAAGCCTCTCATTTTATCGATTAAAGAAAATGAAACCCAGAGAGAAGTTATTTGCTTCAAGGCCATCGAGTTAAGGGAAGTGGCAGGTACATCTCTCTGCCTCATGGTTCTTCCATCACTAAAGCCAAACAAAGCAGAAATGACAGGCAAAAGGCAGACTAGCCCTGACTACTGTCAGAGACTTTTCTCCCCTCTTCCCACTAGCCCTCTCTACTCTGCCTGGGGAGTGAATTGCCATTTCTGCTTCTACTCTGTGTTTAGAGGCTGTAAAGAACACTGGGAATCTAGACTCTGGCTCTGGTTTTGTTGTATGTCTTGGAGTAAATTGCCTCTGGGCTTCAGAGTCTCCTTGTGTAAAACGATAAGTGTGAAATACAATTCCTCACCCACTACCCAAAACAGGGATGAGTAAGCTAAGGGTCAAATCTGTCCAAAGGCACTGAGTCATTGGGATAAATTCTTGCAATGGGGATAAGCATTACTTGTAATGTTGCTACTTCATTTGTGTTCATGGCTCTACAAGGCAAGGCAGGGGTGACCTGGACTGATCAAAAGCTAATGTTTCCACCTGGCTTCCCAGTTCCACTTTGGAGTGGCATTTGTATTACTGCATGCCCATATCTATACATTAAGGGGACCATATTTTTAAGCTTTGGGATTTTTATACCCCTTCTTCATCCATCTGAACAGCTCTTACTAAGCCCAGTGATGAAGCTTCAATCACCCATTAGGCATCACAATCTCAAGTCAGGAAGCAGAATTGTGTTAGGTGCAGAACCAAGGGGACTTAGAGCTATTAGACAATTCTTAAATACATCATAAATATCTATTTCCAGGAAGATTAATAGTGATAAGAATGTTCATTTCTTAGTGAAACGTTTTTTTTTTTTTCATTCTCTTGATACTTAACCTATCCACATGGATGAGGTTAAGCTGTGCACCATAATGGGGGACTATTAAGACACCCATAATTAAAATGACTTTTTTCTGGAGCATTCAGGGAAAATTATAATTTTTTTCTTTTAACCACTCTAAAACATAGTAACAAAATAATTTGAAAAGATATTTCCATCCTAATTCTATCTCTCTTAAAACCACATAAAAGATGGATTTTAATACAGGGTGACCATACTTGGAGTCACAAGGACACCTGGAGAAATTACTTCAAATGTAGGTTCCCCAGGACCAACTCATATATACATTCTGCTTCTTAAGAGTTGGAGTCAGGCTCAGAATTGCACTTTTAAGACAGGGTCTTGCTATATATTTTAGACTGGTCTTCAACTCACTATGCCAGGCTGCCCTTGAACTTGGGGCGATCCCACGGCCTCAGCCTCCCTAGTGCTAGGATTACAGGTGTGAGCCACCACACCTGGATTTTGCCCTTTTAATAATTCCCCAGGTGCTTGAATATTAATCATCAGAGACCAAGCTTTGAGCAGTACCACAACAGTATGCTCAATTCCACTCATATTTTCTCCTACAGAGATGGGCATGGTGGTTCACGCCTGTAATCCTTGCCCTTAGGAAGCTGAGGCAAGAGAAACATAGTGAGTTTGAGGCCAGCTCCATAGTGAGACTGTCTCAAAAAAATAAAATATTTTCTCCTAAAATGCATAGCTCTCAGTCTTATTCTGTGCTCCAGCTTCATGTTATCTGCCTCATATTTATGTACATTACATATACGTATTTCAACCTAGTAAAATTTAAAAGATCAGAACGTAAATCCCAAATCCTCTTTTAAACAAACTTATTCATGTGGAATCTCATAATATCCCTAAGGGGCCAAAGGGAATTTTAGCATCCACTGTGTTTTACCATATTGTTTTCTCCTAGTGTTGAGAAATTTCTATTTAAATCCAAAGATTAAAGGGCCCAATGTTCACCATAATATCACCAACAATGGATTAAAATTTATTTTTACTTCGTGCTGCTAATTTATCCAGTGTAAAATTGCATCTTAAGGTAGATTTAATTTGTGCTTTTCACATTTCTGGCGAAGATTAATATGCCTCCATGTTTTCTATTTATGTATTGTATTGTTTTGTTTTGTTCCTATTTATAAGATTCCCAGAGTTGTAGTTAAACTTTTCTGTCTCTTTCTGGGTTCAGGGCAAGGATTTTGCTACTTTCTTTATTGTCAAGATGACTAATACTTAACAAAGAGGAAACCAAGTGCCAGTTGATGGATAAGGGACTGAGGCTTCATTCAGCACCCACGGCTGGTACACTTGGTCTAACTACACCAAGGCAAAACC